ACAAAAAAACCAGAGTGTGGTTTTCAAAGTAATTTAAATGATAAATAAGAGGCAACTTTAAAAAATGCTGTTAGATTAGTGCTGAATTTAGGAGGAATCAACTTCTCCCCCTCACCACCCTCAAGGGAAACCTGCTTTAGGAGTTATGGAAAGGTGATAGACCAAGTCTGACAACTAAGTCCATGAACTCATCCTGGAAAAACTGCTATAAACTCCATTGCAGAGTATCACTACCGTCACCAGAGGGCCAAGGGGAGGACTTCAAAGGTGACTGTAGTGATATTCAGCAATGAGGTATGCAGTACTTACCTAGGATGAGTTCACTAACTTAATTGTTCATCCTCATCTATGCCTCTGGACGCCGTCCCCTCCCAAGTGGATACTATCTAGATGGACACTCCCCACCTGTGTCCACCCACCATATAATTTGGGATCTATTTTTTTTAGAGCAGTTTTATTTAATAAGTTTACAGGTAAATTGGGGAGAAAGTGGAGAGGATTACTACATATTCCCCTTCTCCCCCTCCGCTGCCCCCACTAACATCCTGCATTAGTGTGGCTCTTCATGTTGTACATTCTGAGTTTGACCCATGTACACTACCATGTACCCACCACCGTAGGATCACGCAGAGCAGTTTCACTGCCCTAAAAATCCACTGTGCTCCACCCTCTCAGCACCCACCTCGAGCCCCTGGCAGCCACTGATCTTTGTCCTGTCCCTCTGGCCCGCCTTGTCCAGAATGTTGTGTGGCCCTCACTGTCCGTGCACACAGCCTTTTCAGACTGGCGGCTTTCACTAAGCAATGTGAAAGCACTCTGGGCTCCTCGGGGCCTTTCTGTGGCCTGGCAGCTCATGTGTTGCAGTGTGGAATGACATTCTCTTGTCTCAGCTGCCACAGTTCATCCTCCCCCACTGAAGGATGTCTTAGTTGCTTCTGAGGTTTGACAATTATGAACAAGGCTGCTGCTGTAAACATGTATCTATTGATTTTTTGTGCGCGGATAGAAGTTCTCTTTTTTTCTTTTTGAGATAGGGTCTGTCTCTGTTACTTCAGCTAGAGTGTACTGTTGTCGGCCTAGCTCACAGCAACCTCAAACGATCTTCCTTCTTCAGCCTCCTGAGGAGCTGGGAGGTGCCCACCACCATGACTGGCTAATTTTTCGGTGTTTTTGTGTAGAGACAGGGTCTCACTCATCCTCAGGCTTGTCTTGGACCCCTGGCCTCAAGCAATCCTCCCACCTCAGCCTCTGAGAATGCTAGGATTACAGGCACCTGGCTGGGGACTTAAGTTTTCCTCTCATTTGGGTAAATGCTGAGGAATGTGACTATTGGATTATGTCACATGTAAAATTCTGAAAGTGACTTGCAAAGATTTGTTTTTAGTCAGTGACTTTGAACAGGAACTATTTTTTTAAATTAAGGTATATCATGTATCAAGTGAAGCTCACTGGTTGTAAGTGCAAGGTCCCATGAATTTTTTTTTTTTTTTGCAGTTGTTTTGGCTGGGGCTGGTTTTGAACCTACCACCTCCAGCATATGGGGCTGGCGCCCCACCCCTTTGAGCCACAGGTGCTGTCCCAGGTCCCATGAATTTTTATACATGTGTGTCCAAGAGATCAAGATACTAGGCATCCCCACATCTCAGCACTACCTGCTTCACCCCCCAGAGAGAACACTGTCCCAACGTCAATACCATCCTTTCATTCGGCCAGGCAGGCAGCAACCATCCCGCAGCCTTTCAAAGTAGATTGGGGTGGGGGTGGTGGGAGCAGGAAGGAGCAGTTTGTTTCACCTGAGTTTGTGTGGAATGAATGGAGCCTAATTTTGTCATCAGATTGTTCTTGCTGATCTAGAGCAAGGGTTGGCCCACCGACTGGATAAATATTTCTTGTTTTGCAGGCCAGTGAATGAGGGGGTTTGGCTGTGTTCCAATAAAGCTTTATTTACAAAAACAGGCAATGGGCCAGATTTAGCCTTTGGATTATAATTTGCTGGACCCAGTATACAGCCATGCTTTTCCTTTGTGAGATTCATGTTCAGGTCCCACCCTGAATCTGTGCACAGTGTAAGATGTCTCCAGGTGACTTTCATGCACATTCAAGGCTGAGAACTTACTGTGTTCCCCTCCAGGGAGGAAGACGGTAGGTGTCCTGGGATCCAGACTGTGTACATGGATATACAAACAGAGGGAGGTTGAACAAAAGCCCATTAAGAATCTCCCCATCTCGGCCACACTTTGAGTAATTTCATGTCTGCCTTTCAACATCATGTCATTTTATCTCCGCTTCTTGACATAACTGGTTTCTTTCTGGCTGGCAGGTGGGAGGTGGGGGTGGTGGATATTAAGTAGAAAATACCACCTATTAAAGTGGGGCAGGATGACAGTTCTTCTGGGGGAACATGGGGGGGGGATCACGAGCCTTGGGGAATCCCGGCAAAGATGAAAAGTAGGCCCCTCAGGAGTGAAAGAAAGTTGTGGTCATAAGGGGGAATTTTAACAGTTTGACTCTTGGTGGTGGAGCTGTTGTTGCCACGCTAAGGACAGAGATGGTGACAGCTGTTGCCCAGGGTTGAGCATGGCATATGCTTCTGGCACTCCGTATGTGTCACCTTCACTCCATCTTTCCAGTGTTCTTGGAAGTGGCTCCTGTTGGCATTTCCATTTTGCAGAAGAGGATTCTGAGGCACTGTGGGGTTACATAGCTGAGGGAATGTCACAGAGCTACTCAAGAGTGGAGCCAGGACTGGAACCCTGGTAGTGTGACAACCAAGCTCATGCAGCTCCTGGGCAGGACTCCTGTGCTGTTTGCCTTGAAAGGGGCAGCCTCCTGGGTGGGGGTTGGAAACCAGTGGTGCCGGGAAGTGAAGGTAATGGGTGGCATGGGGCCTGCTCTGTGCTGCCGAGGAGTCTGGAGGACAGCAGACCCCACAGCGGGCAACAGTGGGCAAGCTGAAGCCACGGCCTTCAAAACTCTTAAAACTAGAAAACTGCTCTGAGACATTAGTCTCAGCTGGGGGCACAGGCTGGGCAAACTCCAGAGCTGGGCAGAGTAGAGGAGCCTGTGTAAGACAGGATCGAGGCAACATTTTGAAGTGCATAGGTGTCTCGCCCACTGTGTTTTGGGCTTTGTTTGAATAATAATTATATCTTCCATGTAGTTAATTAGGACCCAGCTACATGGAAGCTTCCAACAGTTGGAATTTTTTCTACATTTTATTTTAGGAAAACCACAGACAAAAAGAAAAAAGTATGTGGGCAGGGGATTTATTTGAACACATTCACTTCCATGTTTTACCCTTGATCTGCACACTTACGTCATGGTCTGACCTCTTTTAAAATCTATACATAGATTTGTTACCTCTGTGTTATTCTACAAAGAAGGCAGATGTTCCCAGTGATCCTCATTGACTCGATTACGAGATTCCACACACCAAATATATTTTACGAGAATCTAAAATGCCAGGTGCTATTAGGGATATAAAAAGTATCTTAAACATGATCTGAGCCCTGGAATAATTTTCAGTCATTAGAACAACATTCACTTATCTTTGGGACAAGGGACAAAATTGTGCAGACAGCAGAAAAATTCTCAATAGAGTTTAAGGGAAAGGGGGTAAGAGATGTCCAAGAGTCTTATCCTCTGGACTATTTCAGGACATTTTGAAGTTCTACGTGACCACATCTGATTATTAAATGCTAAGTGCACTTCCAGGGCTGGTTTTCATCCAGGCCACCGTGGGAGCCTCTCATCCGAAAGGCATAGATGAGATGGTTCTGGTGAAGGGCTCTTCTTCCTTTCCAATACCATGAATAAATGTAAAATGTCACTAGGAATTCTGCTTCTGCATCTTCACTGATGTTCCCTGAGGAGTCAGGAACCCCACCATGTTATAGGCGCCTCTGGTTTGCTTACTCAGACCCTGTTTCTTCTCAGGGGGAACCAGCAGTCTCTTCCTCCCTGCAGTTCTGCCCTGGACCTCTCATTGTAAGGAGCCCACAATATTTTGTAACTCTAATCCAGAGGTTGTAAGCTGACAGCTTGCAGGTCAGTGAGAAACACAGCCTGTGCTGTTTTGTTAAAATGATTAGTTGCTATCATTTAAAATCAGATTCCCATTGCAAGTCTGTATTTCTGGCTTCTTGTGAAAATTTCAGACCCGGCAGTGCGAATCTGGTTTGCACAGCTGCCTGGTCTAACAAGTCACCTCTCCTCTGTTCTTCCCTAGCACTGAGGTGCTCTATTCATTGCCACTGGGCTTAGGCTGCTGTTTTCCTGATTGTAACTGAGTATTACTCTTTCCCTTTGTGCTCTATCAAAATTGGGACACCACAGAAAGGATCAGGAAGCCCCAAGTGTCTCCTATCTGGCCTATATAACCCCTGCCATCACCTGCTTGACCCCTGTAAGCATTTGTTATCTGCTCTAGATAATTCTGTGATCCTTTAAATGAAAAGTGTCTCAGCCCTTTCAGACTTGCTGAAAAACTGAACACATCTGATGTAGGATGGGCATGTTTCCCCTTGGCTTGCTCTCTTATTTCCGGCCAGGTCTGTGTCTCAAGGCAGAGGGAACAAGAAACGTCTTCCCCCAAGGTTAGATGCCAGCATTCAAGCGCACCACTGATTGATTCATAAGTCCCAGTCATTTCCCTCTGTCCAGGAACACCCATCCCCGATGACAAGAGACGGCTGCCCCGTGGGCTGCACGTGAGCCAGGGACTCGTGGGAAAATCCAACCCCTGCCTTTAGGGAACTGGTCACCATTGCTGCTAGGGCAGTGACCACCGTCACGTTTCACTTCAATGATGCTTATGTTTCAAAGAGGCCAAGTGATATTTGGAGTCTAGTTAGGGGAAAGTACTGGATTCTTTGAAGGGGAGAGACAAGTTTCAGCTTGAAATACTTGGGGAAAATACTGCCTTGAGTGATGCTAATGACCTGGCGAGGCTGAGAGGTGGAGTGGGCACCTGGAGTGAGGGGCCTCGGGTTCTTTTCTAGGCACCCCTTGGCCACCTTCTTCCACCTGTTTTTCCGAGTGAGTGCCATCCTCACCTACGTGTGCTGCGACTGGTTCAGCAGGAGCTTTGTGGGCTGCTTTGTCACTGTGCTGGTCCTCCTGTCCTTGGACTTCTGGTCTGTGAAGGTGAGGCCCTCTTCTGGGAATTCACTGCTCCTGAAACTCGGAGCATAGGGGGATGTTCCCAAGCACATGCGAAGAACAGGTACTTTGGTTTAGAATGCTGAGACATAATCAAGAATGCTAAGCCACTGTCACTTAAAATTAGAATAATGCGGTGTAGTGTGTTATAAATGGCTTCCCGATGTCAAGTGACATGGTTGCACATATGTATATAAATAAATGACAACCCCCTATGGCTTTGGATTTTTTGGTATAATTTACATATATACTGATATATATAATATATTGAAAACACGTATAATTATGAATATATAAATACAGTAGAACCTCTGTTAAGTTGACCACCCAAGGGACTGTAACAAACTGGTCAGCATACAGAGGTGGTCAACATAAGGAACTAGGCCTACAGTACTGATACGAAAATTAGGTCCTTGGCGCCCATAGCTCAGTGAGTAGGGTGCCAGCCACATACACTGAGGTGGATGAGTCTGAGCCCGGCCCGGGCCCTGCTGGACCATGATGACAAATGCAACAAAAAATAGCTGGGCATTGTGGCAGGTGCCTGTGGTCCCAGCTGCTTGGGAGGCTGAGGCAAGAGAATCACTTAGGCCCAGGAGTCTAAGGTTGCAGGAGCTGTGATGCCACAGCATGCTACCAAGGGCAACGTAGTGAGACTGTCTCAAAGAAAAAAAAAGAAAAAATGAGGTCAATTGGAGGAGGTGGTGGGTGTAAGGAGGCAGTCAGCTATGAAGGGTCTGCTGTATACATATTTGGGGGAAGGAGAGTGTATCACGTTTTAAAGTTAGCTAAGTTAAAAAATCAGAAGCCTCAAAAATGAATGAGAAACCACTACAGAGCAATACCCTTTTTCTTCCTGCTCCCAGTACGAGTGTGACATGAACTGGTGGCTTTTATTTCATTTATCAATACAGTGATGATGACGCTTTGCCCAGGGCCTCCAACAGTGATTTTGTCCATTGTCCTCAGAATGTAACTGGGAGACTCATGGTGGGCCTTCGATGGTGGAACCAGATAGATGAAGACGGGAAAAGCCACTGGATTTTTGAAGCCAGGAAGGTATTCTTTTGAGTTTTGTGTGTGCCTATCTCATTTCTGCCCTACACAAAATCTACTGCTCCTGGCACTCCTTTGAAGCACGCGTGTAGCAAAGGTGTGTGTCAGAGGAATGAAAAGCGAGGTGCTCGTGTGCAGCCGTTCCCGTGGGTTCTGAAAATCACACTGCTCTCCCACGACAGGTCTCTCCAAACAACATCGCTGCCACGGAAGCAGAAGCGCGAATCTTCTGGCTCGGCCTCATCATCTGCCCCATGATTTGGATCGTGTTCTTCTTCAGCACCTTGTTCTCCCTGAAGCTGAAGTGGCTGGTGAGGCAAGGCCTCGGCTTGGACGCTGCTTTGACATCTACAGGAAGTTTCAGGAAGAGGCTTTTGTTTTTGATAGATTCGATTGTAATGGTTTTATTGAGGAATAATTCACATTCCATATAATTTACACATCAATGTGTATAGTTCCGTGGCTTCCAGTGTTGTCACGGGTGTGGAGCCATCGCCACACAATCAATTTGGGGATATTTTCATCACCCATCAAAGAAAATCTGTTCTCTGTACCTATTATCTCCTATGCCTACCTATTCCCCCAATGCTCGGCACCCACTAATCTTTCTGTCTCTTCAGTACATTACAGATATGTGGAGTCATGTGGTCTTTTGTGACCGACTCCTCTCACTGAACATACTGTCAGGTGCATCTCTGTTGTGGCAGGAAACAGTCTTCATCCCTTTTTATGTATGGCTGAATATATTCCATTATATAAAGAGGCCACATTTCATTCACCCATTCATCAGTGGATGGTCATTTAGTTGTTTATACCTTTTGGTTATGAATAGTGCTGAAAGAAGGGAGTTTTTTTGAAAAAGAATATGACAGCCTGGCACCTGTAGCTCAAGTGGCTAGGGCACCAGCCACATTCACTAGAGCTGGCGGGTTCGAATCCAGCCTGGGCCCATCAGACAACAATGACAACTACAACCAAAAAAAAAAAAAAATAGCTGTGGTCCCAACTGCTTGGGAGGCTGAGGCAAGAAAATTGCTTGACCCGGGAGTTTGAGGTTTCTGTGAGCTGTGACACCACGGCACTCTACCCAGGGTGACACCTTGAGACTCTGTCTCAAAAAAAAAAAAAAAAGAAAAAGAATATGACATTCTACCTTGGTCAAGGAACCCCTCTAGGTAGGAATAAGTTTACCTTTGAGTTCTGAAATCTTATGCCAGAGGCATCATAATTCATTGTCCTGATCTAGTCCATTCATTGAGAAAACAAAATCTCCATACAGAGTAAGATAACATTGTAATAAAAAGTGTGGCCTCTGGAGTTTGGATCCTGGCTTGAACACGCTCTAGCTCTGTGACCTTGGGCAGCTTTGGATTCTCTGTGCTTCAGTTTCCTCCTGGTCTGGCTGGTGAAGGCAGCAGTCTCTTGGGTTGCTGATGAAACAGCGGGGTCCACAAGCACTTTAAGGGCTCAGGGAAGCCTGGCTATTACCATTGTTAGTTTTAGGCCAGAGCCTGTGCTCTGGGTTGAGAAGCATTTCTATGAATCTCTCAGAAAGTTCTCTTGCTTTGTCTGAGTACAGGCTCTTGTGATCGCTGGAATTTCTCTCCAAGCTGCGAACCTGTACGGCTACATCCTTTGTAAGATGGGAGGTGAGAGTGACCTCAGCAAGGCTACAGCCAGTTTTTTGCCCCAGGCGGTATTCCAGACGGTGAGTTACTATGGTCTAACTCCTGGACCACTCCCCTCCAGATGCTCAAACTACAGTTGGCACTGCAGTTTGTAATGTTTTATCAATATCAGCTGGGCTGCCATTGTTTTGTTTTTTAATTGTTGTGAAAGACACATAAAATTTACCATTAAGTATATAGTCCAGTAGCGTTAAGTGTGTTAAGTACATTCACACTGTCGTGCAACTATCATCCATGTCCACAACTTTTCCATCTTCTCCAACTGAAACTCTGTCCCCATTAAACATTAACTCCCCCTTTTCCCTCTCCCCCAGCCGCTGGCACCCTCCAGTCTACATTCTATGGGTTTGACTGCTGACCTTCTATAAATGCAGCCAGA